GCTTCCTTTTACCTGGACTGTTCTTTCTCATCAAATTATCTGGTTTAAACCCACCTTTCCATAGATATCAATGTGTCCAGGAAGTCTTGCCTGAGCCCCTGGAAAGCTGAATTCAGCACCTCACCTGTCTCCTGTAGAACCCTTCTATTGCTGGTTTCCTCTGCTCAACTGTGAGGCCCTGGAGAGCAGGAAGTACTTTTTTTTCTTTTTTCTTTTTGTTTCAGAGGTGCTCACCTCCAGTCTGCAAAAAGATGCCTCACACAGGGTGAGGTTCTGCCAATGTCAATTGAATAAACATAAAGCATGTGTGACTCTGAGAGACTCTGCGTCAACCCACAAAATGGAAACTTCTTATCATCTCTGATCTCTAAGGTGGCATCAAGTTCTGCTGTTCCAGGTGTTTTGACCTTTTGCCAATTAGCCGATGGGCTGTACCCAAGGAGAGTGAAAAGGCTTGATTCTGAATTTTAAAATCAATGTAGCTAATTAAAAAATAGCTCGTTGAACTGAAAAACAAGTTCAGAAACAATTAAGATAATTAAAATATCACCACCTTAATTGAGACCAAGCAGTGAGCTTAAAAAATAAAATTAATTAAAAAAAACTTACTTGGAGCCGGTAATTAACTGGCTTTTGAATTCAATGCTTTTCAGCTCAACAAATCTCTCTTTAAATTAATTCATTCTTGGTTTTGTTCCTTCAGAAAAGTTTTTGTAAAAAGTCATTTTTGTAAAAAACCACTTTTGGTCTCAGCAGGTAGCTTGTTGCCTCCCTGAGTGCATATGGGAAGAAAAGGCAAAATTAACCTTCCCTCAGTGGATACCTGTCCTGTGCTAGGCACATTATCTTGTTTAGGTACACATGAGTCCTGCAGGTATTATAACAGAAGAGGCCAAGGGGACACAGAGCTTTGCCATCTTCTGGAGATTGCTGCATCCTGTCACCCAGCATGTGCAGACAGAGACTGAAACTTGGAGCACAGTCTTCAAGAAATCATGAGCACCATGACAAGGAAGCTTTGAACCCTGCCCGGGGCTATTTCATTCAACTCTCTCTCCCTACCCCCTATCCTCTCACCTGTTCAGTTTCCTCTCCTGGGCCTCTCAAATGCCACTTATCATTCTAATCTCTTATCCATCTTTTTAGAAAGTGGAGTCACACAGCCCTGACCAGTATGAGTGCTAGTGCCTTTCAGGGGTGTTACATGATCCTTGCTGCTACTAGAAGGAGCATATTTGGGAGGCCTGTGTTTAAATGGGAATGACATACTTCTCATCCCCTTTCAATCCCAATGTTACTGTTTTTCTCAAACAAAATGTGATTAAACAAATGCTGACGGGTTGATTTGTTCTTTTTTTTTTTTTTGTGTGGAGTTTATTTACTCTAAATAATTCGCATACATGTTTGAAGTATTCATACCCTAGTAACTGATTTTTAGCAGACTTGATTTCTGTATGCAAATTCTTTTTTTTGAGTTGGAGCCTCACTCTGTCGCCAGACTGGAGTGCAGTGGCACGCTTCTGGCCACCGCAGCTTCGACCTGCTGGGCTCTGGCGATCCTTCTGCCTCAGCCTTCCAAATAGCTGGAACTACAGGCGCGTGCTACCATGCCCAGCTAATTTTTTGATTTATTGTAGAGATGAGGTCTCACCAAGTTGCCCAGGTGGGTCTCAAACCTGCGGGCTCAGGCAATCCACTCACCTCAGCCTCCCAAAGCACGGGTTTACAGGTTGAGCCACCGAGCCGGCTGTATGCAAATTCTTAAGTATGTGTGCAAAGTTAAATAAATAACAGTTTATTTATTAGTATTTTTGGTTGGAGATTTTTTTTTTGTTTTATTTTAAATGTTAGCTTCCAGGATTGGGGAGTGATCTGCAGGGTGAAAAGTGACAAGATGGCAGAAATAAAATTGACTCAACCATGGTTCATTTGACTCAGTTGGGGGGTTGCTGCACTCAAAGGGCATAGGAGAGGGCTCAGGTGTCCAGGACTGGACCAGGCACCCCACCTCTCAGGAGGGAGGTTAGGGCTGGTGATCTTCTCCTGTGGGGTACACTGAGAGGGTATGGCGGCTCAGTCTCTGTGGCACCAGGCCCCCAGCTGTCCGTTCCTTTTACCCAGCAAATCTCTTTCTGCCCTGAAGCCCTCTCAAGAATATGGTGTGTCCTGGCTCCTTGGTGTGAGGTAGGGCCCCACGATCAACTTCTTGAAGAAGATGCACAGTGATTCTTATGCTGGGGCCATATGGCATGCTGGGTTCTGGAGTAAAAGGCCACGTTTTCAAATACTAGTTGCATCACTCATCAACAATTTCTTTTTAATAACTTTGTTTGTAAAATGGGCGCATTAACAGCAGCTACCTCCTTGGGTGGTTGTGAAGATTAAATGTGGTAATCCAGTTTGAGGGCTTCGTTCACTGCCTGTATGTCAGAAGCACTCAGTGAGTGTTCGCTAAGATTCTTGTTCTTATGAAGGATTATTATTTACTCTGGTAACAAAAGACCAACACAAGAAACTTAACAAACATGTACGAGGTGCTTAAACAGGTCTGTTCTAAGTACATACAGATATTAACTCATTTAATGTTCATGATAACCAATAAGCAACAGCAGGAACTGTTACCTCTATTTTTACAGAGGAGGAAACTGAGGCATATAGCAAGGATAGTGAGCAGTAGAGCCAGGATTCTGTCCCAGAAACTCCAGCCCTGGAGTCTATGCTGTTTCTTGCTGTGCTCAGCGGTTTCCTGTCCTTTATGATTACATTGTCCATTCAGGCCACCTGGAGGGCAGTGTGGCATGTGTACGAAGTGGGCTGAAGAAGCAAAAAGCTCAAATTCTGTCATAAAGCTTGTCACACACTGGTACAAATTTCATCACCCATCACCCTGGGCCACCTTATTATTACCCATCTCTGAGATCTGCTCAAGTGAAAATCCCAACCTCTCAGCTGCAGCACATGGCACTTATTGGGGAAGATGCCTCAGCTGGTAATGCCTCACTGGACTGCCAGTGGTCTAGTTCTCAAGTTTCTTAAGTGTCTTCATCCCGTGGAAGTGTGAGAAGGAGTAACAAAGGACGGATGTGGTCATCTGGTCATCATTCTTAATTATTGACTCAATTTTGGATGAGTCTTGGATAGCAAGTCAATAGCTGCAGCCCCAGGGGAGAGAGAGCAGTGCACTGGCCTGAGACTGCATCAGTTTCCTGGCTTCTCATGCAGACATCCCAGGAACCAGAGGAGAGAGCTCCACTTGGGACCAGGAAGCTCTTGTGCAAGTATCTGGAAGGCCTAGCCTCAGAGGACTTTGAGGATAGACACAGGACCTCCGCCACTTGCCTCTTGGAGACAGCCCTCAGCTTAAGAGCTGAGTGAACTCCCTGCCCTTGGGGCTTGAATCAACTTCTTTAGTCTGGTAGCCTGCTTCCCTCTGCTAATCTCCTGGTATCAGAGCACATCCCTTGGGAAGTAGGTTGAGTTGACTCTCCCAGGACCAGGACTGGGTCTTGTTGCTGTCCTAAGAACACACCTAAGTTTCTATTTACAGCTGCTGAAGCTGCTGCAGTGGAGGGAGCCACCCTCATCTGTTCAAGCAGTGGAAATGCCTTTGGGGGTTGTATGTTCAAGACATGTGAGAAATTCTCAGCAGCTGACTGAAGAATATAATGTTCAGGTTCTGGGCCCAGGCAGGAGGAGAGGAATTGTGACTTCTGTGTGCTGGGAAGTCATGATGCTTGAGAGCCCCATGGTTGAGGAGACTGTGTCATTTCTTTTTGTTTTGTTTTGTTTTGTTTTTCTGACCATGGCATTTCTTAGAGCAGTTTTCCTGTACCTGCTCAGGATGCCAATTTGTTTAACTGAATGTTTGCGTGGGGAGTACATGGTGAGATGTCACCTCCCCTGACTGTGGAGAGCAGTTATGAAGGATTTACTGCCTAATAGGCTTTCGGCCCTGGAGCTGAGTGAGGGCATGATTGCTTTTGTTTTGCAGAGAATTCCCTGAGGCCTCTTCTGTGCCAATGATGAGCATGTGCACCTTGGCAGGCAGAGCGTTGATTAGCCATGGGCCTGCTGCTCAGCCTATTCTAGAAAATATTGCAATGTATGAACTGTCTTCAGAGATCTTTCTGGAGTTACATGTTTGCATCAGCTTCCCCCCACCGCCCCCGCCCCCGCTATTATTGCCACCTACAAACCATACTTAACAGTCAGATCGAAGATCTTATGATTGCCCAAACATGCCTCCCTGTGTTTGCTGGGCTGGTCAGCCTGCCAGGATTGTCTTTTCTATCTCTGCTTTTGAAAATCCTGCCCATACTTCAAGATCAAATCCACGTGTTAATGCTTCACTAATCCTTGCCCTAGAAATTGATCTCTGTTTTTCTCTTGAGCTCTGTTATCATTTTATATGCCTGTCATGGTCTTTATCTAATTCTGCCTTACACAATAAATATTTATATGTAAGCTTTCCCCTTCCTTATTACATTGGAACTTTGTGTGGCACCAAACTGTCTTACATATCCTGAAGTTCTTCAGAAACTTAAAATACGTTATTTATGCACATAATCAATATTGATTGAACTAAAGCAAAAACCTCAAGGATTTTTTTTATAGGAAATAGGCAAAATTAGGCATGGATGAAGTTATAAAAAATAACACCAAATAAAGAGGCAGAAAGGGAAAAGTAGCCCTTGTTCCTTGGACCATGTAAGACTCTGAAGGATTTTTAAAAGCAATTTTTGCCTGAGATGAAGATGCTGAAACTCCCAAAGCACAAAAGAATTGTTCTTCTGATGTTGAAGAAGAATGTATGTGGTAGATGCAGAAAACCCATCTCCTGACTTGGGTTTTTATTCCAATCCCCACCAGCCTCAAACAGCACTCATTGTAAACACACGATTGGGGTGGTTTATTTCCCACTTGCTTATTTGAGTATAAATAGAAATTAAATTTCCCTGGCAGTCCTAACCCCTCCTTCCTTCTTGATGTTTTTGCCTCAGCCCTGGACCCATCCAAGGATCCCTGCTTGAAGGTGAAATGCAGCCCTCACAAAGTGTGTGTGACCCAGGACTACCAGACCGCCCTGTGTGTCAGTCGCAAGCATCTGCTCCCCAGGTAAGGCAGGGAGGAGGATGGCTGGAGGCTGGGGGGTTTCTGCAGCTGGCAGACTTGAGGGTATTCATTCTCTGACTGGGGAATACAGGGAGGGGAGAACATAGTGTTTGTGTCACCATTTTGTTGTTGTTGTTCTGTGTTTGGGTTCCTGTGTACCTGCTGTGGTGTGAGTCTCAGTTCTCAAACACAGATTTACAAAGAACATCAACCTTTATTTCCTGTGAATCCACTTCATTTGACTCTGAACCCTCACCTGAGCAGATGAGCAAAAAATCCCTTGGTTATTATTGGGACCCTTCCTCCTCTCAGAGTGATGCCAGGATCCAGGAAACCTATAGCTAAGAAAGCAGGGGCCAAACTTTTTGTCCCCTGGTGGCACACTGACAACCTTACTCTGATGATTCTTCCAAGCCAGTTGAAGTCCAAGGGTTCTTTGCTTCCATGCCCCCTTAGGATGTTTGCCGGCCCTGGTTTTTGGGTCCTGCCTTCTCAAGAACACCTCGCCAGTATTCTTTCTGACAACGTCGTGCTACTTCCTCAGAGAGCAACACCTGATATCCCTTTTTCCCAGCCCAGGGGGAACTCTCCTCTGTCTTCTTCAGAGTTCTTAAAGCCTTCACCTCTTTCTCCCAATCCCACTCCCAGCATTATCCATCCAGTGGGTTTAGGCTTTTACACATGAGGGAAAGGGCATTTGATTTCAATCTTCCTCTGCTTTTGGTTCTGCAAAAATACTTGAAGCACAAAAGCAGACAGTTACACACATGCAGACAGGCTTGCTTAAGAAGGGGTCTGGTGAGGGTGGGAGAAAGGTGATTCAGGGCCTACCTCACCCTTCCCCTGTACTGCCTGTACAACTGAGAGATGTAGCTACCAGAGTCGTGCACGCCTGGGTCTGGATTCGACAGCATGCTCTGCTGTTTGCACGTGACCTTAGGAAAAGAAAGCTGCCTTTCTGAACCTCAATTCCCGCTGAAGTCTGCCTCCCTAGAACTTTCGCTTCATTAGCTCCAGTTTGACGCCCTGGGACCAGGCAGAATGGGTCCCATCCCTTCCCTAAGTTTTTAAAGTTCAAGGAATACTGGTCCCCTTGGCTGTTCCTCTTGAGATATGTTTTAATTATCCTCAATCCCCTAAGTGGTTTCCTCTGAATGTGCCTGGGGAGCTGCTGCCCTCTGAAATCATAATTAATTTGACAAAGAAACAGTGCTTCCAGCATGGGGTGACCATGCAGACCCTCACCCCCTCTAGCTTCTCTAAGCATGGCACCTGCAGCAACAGACACAGGACCCGGACCCCTGCATCACTGCATTCTTCCAGCCCTTTTGTAAAGTTGGTATTGATTTTGGCTCCACTTTACAATGAGAGAACCGAGGCAGAGAGAGGCATTAGTCATTTGCTTGTATATCTAGTAAGCAGCAGCTGTGATTCAAACCCAAACCATCTGGTTCCAACCTTGTTTTTTTACCACTGCAATGTGTTGGCCTCTTCATTCTACCTGTATTGTCTGCTTATTCATTGTCATTTAACAAAAAAGCATCAAATACCTACTATGCACCAGGCTTGTGTTAGGCACTAGTGCTATAGAGGTAAACAAGAGACCCTATTTCTACCCTCAGGGAAAATCAAGCTCACTGGGGAGTGATATGTTTACAAAAAAAGTTTTGTTTGTTTATTTCAAGTTTCTTTTAAGGTATATTCTAGATTCTTCTGCCACATGTCATTTCTTCCTTCTCTGATGGAGAGAAGATGCGACCTCTTTTGTTACAAACACCCTTTGGAATGGTGCTCAAGGTTGTTCAGCCATCTGGTCATACATACATGTATGTGTATTTGTGAGTGTAAGATGAAGAGATTAATGCTTGTTTCCTTCTAGAATTCAGTATATAACCCTTTCTAGAAGTGCTAGACAAAATATTTTTAGCTTTAAACTCAAATCTGTTGAGCAGCAACCTCGTTGGTATTCAGGTAAATCCAGGTATAAGTAGTGTTTTTCTGGGCATGGCATGTTTCTGTGTTGGAAGTACTAACACTTTTTGCTTATGTTAAAAATGTAATCCTCGTCTCCCACATCACCTGGTGACCACAAAATTATAATGGCTAAGAGCATGAATTTAGGAGTAAGACCAATCTGGGCTCAATTCCCAGCTTAGCTATTTTGTATTTCCAAGTGACCTTGGCAAGCTACTTTAGCTTTCTGGGTTTGTGCTGCCTTTTCTGTTAAATAGGTCTAATGATAGTGTTTTTCATATTCCTCTTTTCTATTTTTGCTGGAATATATCCTTTAGTAATGCTTGCAGAGAAAGTTTATGGGTAGTACATTTTACAAATCCTTATATAGGGTAATTTTGTGTGTATGTTTGTGTGAGACTTCAATAAGAGGATGGTGTGTAAAGTACACAAGTATCAAATAATGACAACTGATCTTACATTTACTAAAACAATTATGATAATAGTTATTATTTCTGATTCATTCTGGAAGGTCAGCCATAAATCCCCAAAATTGCACGCTTCTGAGTAAAAAGGTAACTCACTACAGGTGCCTTGGCGCCTTCCCAGTCTGACTGTGCCTGCCTTTGTAATTTCTGCTAGAATAAGTTTGTGAGGTTTAGCATGAATGTTGCAGTGTCATTTCTGCTACTCCCTTTGTCATTCACAGCGGGTAAGAACTAAGAAGATGACAGCATTTCTGATACTAGGGCTTGTTCATTCATTGGAAAAATGGCCCAAAAAGGAGGCTTTGATGGAGGTTGTGTGCCCACGTCCTTCTCAGAATCTGGGAGGTGGCCTGGCCTAAGGAGGCCCTGCAATGTGCTTGCTGTGGTTATGGGTTCAGCCTTCCTCCTCTTCCTCTTGTAGGTTGAATTACTCAGCTTTCAGTATCAGAGTCCATCCTCTTCTGAGGGTCTTGGACACCTTCCCAGATGAAACATCTGTCCTTCCACATTATACTTCAGGGGTCTCTTCTGACTGGGGAGACCATGTTGACAGCTCTATTTATTCATCAATCAGGAAAGTAATCTTTCTCTCTGCAGAACATCTGTAGGCAATCTTGCCAGCCAGCTGGTCTCTGCAGCAGCTCAAGAGGCAAATCCTGCCCGCCAGACAGGAGTGCGCACAGACGGAGAGGCAGCCAGGCCAGCCTTCGGCTGATTATGAGGCTCCAGACTTAGGCTGTCTTTGTAAGTGAATGAAGACAGAAGGACAGTGAGCCCATCAGTGAGAGAATTTCATTAGCTTTCCTAGCCCGTAGAGATTGAGTGAGTGGAGAAGTTGTTTGACACATACATCTGTGACTGTAGCATGTTAGGGCCGGGAGGTGAGCAATTTCGGTGGGGGGTTGCTGGGAGGAAGGGGAGAGAGCCAGGGCAACCAGCCCTCCCCTGCTGGAATTCTTCTTCTTGACTAGGGTGGCATTTATTTGTATTTGGCTTCTTCTAGAGGCTTCAGGTAAACTCACATTCTCATTAAGTACTTCTTTTTGGAAATTCTTTCCTGCTGTTAAGCTATGTTGAGTATGGTTGGGAGGGTCAGGTTTCTGGTAGTGTGCTCACCTTCTGGGGTCTCCAAAGGGGGCACTTATGCACAGAAGAACGGTATGAAGGCAGCTGGGAGTCAGGAAACCTCTTATGTGACTTGAAACTTTTTAAAAATTTATTTTTAGTATAATGATAGTTGATGCTTATTCTAGATAATATTAAAAACATAGAAAAGTAAAAAGAAACAAAAAATAGGCAATATTGTGGGATATTTCCTTCAATTCTTTCTTCTAGTCATAGGCTTTGTACATTGGTTTGTTATTGTCCGAACTTGATTATCAAGTGTCCTATACTGTATATAAAAATTTGCATTGGGCCCTCTTTAGTTAATATTTATAAATAGGTGTTTTATGATATTACAAACTCTTTATAGATATAAATTTTAGTGATTACATAATATACCATACAAAAAATTAACTTGCAATGAGTCATAGACCTAAATATAAGTGCTAAGTCCTTTTTAGATGCCTTAGAAGAAAACACAAGAGTAGTAGCTTTGAGTTTGACAAAGACTTAAGTAGGACACAAAAAGCATGAACTATAAATGCAAACAAAATAGCAACTAATTAGATTTTATCACTGGTCTTCCAAAGACAATTTTAAAAAATTAAAAGACAAGTCACATTGGAATATTTGCAAAACAGGTACAACCAAAGATTTTATTCTAAAATATGTAATGAAAGCAGATGTGCATTTAAAGACTCACTCATGCCATGTTCATGTCAGCTTTATTTATAATAGACAAAAACTGGGAAACAACCTGAATGTCCACTGACAGGTGAGAAAGTAAACACCTTGTGGTATATTTGTTACAGTGGATTCCTATTCAGCATAAAAAGACTATTGATATACCCAACATGAATGAATCTGATAATAATTTTTGCTGAGTGAAAGAAGATAGGCCCTCCCCTTAAAAATATATATATACTGTATGATTTCCATTTGCATGAAAGTTTAGAGAATGCAAACCAATCTACGATGACAGGAAGCAGATCATGTGATGCCTTAGGAAGGGCAGCTTTCTCAGGATAATGGTCATCTGACCCTTAAGATTTGGCAATAAAGCGATCCTTTGGAAAACAGTTAAGTCAAACTCTGGTCCCAGATGACTAAGACTCCACTAGTAAATGACTTTGTTTCTGGAAAGTGAGTTTGTTTGTTTGTTTTTTGTTTTTTTGCCAAGGTATTACTCAGGCTTGAGTGCAGTGGCACAATCACAGCCTTGACCTCCTGTGCTCAGGTGATCCTCCCTCCTTAGCCTCTTGAGTCGCTGAGGCTACAGGTGCACCCCACCATACCTGGCTAAATTTTTTTTTTTTTTTTTTTTGTAGAGACAGAGTGTCACTATGCTGCCCAGGCTGATCTCAGACTCGGGCTCAAGCAGTCTTCTTGCGTTGGTCTCCTAAAGTACTGGGATTATAGGCAGGAACCACCACACCCAGCCTGAAAAAAGAACAATGT